CACAAGAACAATAAACTGAGGGGGTCATTAAGGTAGCCGCCCATATTCAAAGATAATGATATGGAACCTTGTTTATGCTCAATGAATTGTTTTTTGTGTTAATTATTAGGGAAATGAGATGCATTACAAAGAGAATGTACTCTGCATTAATTCTAGGTTTTAAATAAATTAGTCATTTCAAATTAAAACCAAGCGGCTGTAATAAAAAAAGACGGTGATGTATGCAGATGAGTTGAAGAAATATGCAAATGAGGAAACTGTTGCTGTTTCCCCCCCCATGGAGGTCAAATTACAGGAATTGGCTGAGGGCAGTGGTCTCTGTCCCGACTCTCCCCTCTCTGCCATCCCCTGTGCTCATTTCATTTGCCACCCTCTCTGTGCTGCACTCTCAATTTTCCCCCCCTTTTTTCAAAGCACACTCTGCTGTCACAGGGTTTCAGCTGCAATTACTTTTAGTATCACTTCTCAGTGAGAAGTCAACTTCCCTGGAGGCTTCCTATCAGAACTTATTACAGCAGGGGGGCTGGCTGAAGTTAAGTGGCATGACCTGTGGGTTGGCTGGATCAGGAGGAGGGGATAAATGTATGGCTAATTTGTGGAACATTTGAATAAAGGGAAGAGTAGTGCGACAAGGCCACACAATGGCAAAAGAGAAGTCCTTGCATCGACCGTAACCATGTGACCCTATAAGTGAGAGGGTAAATCTTTTTTATAATTTTTTATATGTTTCACAACATTAGCCAAATGGGTCGACTCTCCCCTTTGCTTTTTTTAAACCCCCAAGCAAGAACTATAACCCCAGGACCGGGTGCATGACCACACACACACGCACGCATGCATGCATGTACCTAGGATGGAAAAAATACAAAGACTCTGCAGCTGAGGCAGATCAGCGGAAAGGGTGAGGAACGATCGAGGCGGTTAATTCAAGAAGAGTCATCTGTGTGTGAGAGAAAGACTCAAGGTGCAGTCTTGTGCAATCTCCTTGCCCCGGGTCACGCACATGTAGTTTAGCACCTACGTGCCGAATCAACCACCCATTTCTCTGATTGATGAGCTGAGTGGTTGCATCTCGTAAAACTCTGGTCTAACTGCACACCTGGGATCCTTATGTAATCCAAGGTTAGGCTCTGACTTACCAGAAATAGAAAAAAGAGAGAGAACACAAAGAGTTTAACCTGGGATGAATATTATTTTGTGATAGACACACCTGGTGGTAAAATATCACCAATTCCTCAGATGGTAATAACATGAGATCAACATAGGCATGTGTCCATAGGACCAGCGGAAGAATAGAAGTCACCTGATCAAAGTATTTCTAATCTACGGCAATCATTTCCATCAGTTAAGGTAAGACTTTATGCATTGAGCTGAACAGCAAACCTGGCAACAAGCTGCCAGTTAATTTGCAGTATACATTCATTTAACTCCATTCTTTGAATGCAAAGTAAATAGGACACCAAAAGTTTACATTCAGTATATTCAGTATCCAGCTGAAATGGAAACGAAGTCACAAACACTCCAGCAACATATAAAGCAACCTCCAGAGAGAAAAAACACAATGCAGACGTGGCAAAAACTGCAGTTCTTGAAGGTGCTGCTTCAGACCGGCTAAACTTTACATCATTCAAAATCATATTTGCAGCCTGCTACAAATATGATTTTGGGCCCTATGGATAGTTTCTCCCTTCATAACTCTCAGCATATATTTTTTAATAACCCATCCACGTGGATGCTGGAGTTAGGGGTGTGGCCACACTGACTGACAGGTGTCCCAACACAGGCAGAAGGTGTCCATTAGTGTCAGCTAGGCCTCATTCACTACTTTAAGTTATTATATGTTGTTGGTGCTTATTTAGCAATTATTATGGCTTGCTGTGTCATACAAATCATCCAAGATGTTAATGTTAATTTGCTTTTTAAAAAGTGAAATTTTGTTGTTTTTATTATTACATAACTGATGTTAAGTATAAGCATATTTACATGTGTCTCTCTGTACTGCAGATGGTAAGTAGTGACTGGTGGGTTTTCTCGACAGGGGCATGTATGTGAATCCCCGGCGTGAGCACACACATCCCCACACCTTCAAAGGCAAAGACACATTTCTCTCCTTCATGTCTAAGTTCATTGAAGAGCATGCTGTGAAAAACACATGCCCCCCTTCCCGTGCCTTTGTGTCCTTCATACTTGTATCCTTGCTCCTGCACTCATGTAATTGCAGTAGACAATCAGATGCCATCTTTATAGGCGCATGGTACAACTGTCACAGCGTGTAAGAGCACGATGAAGCGTGGTCGATAAATCCTGTCAAAAGAGCTTACGACGCGCTAACGCTCCCCTCACCACCACGCAGTGTTGATTGTTCCAGTGAATCAGTCAGCGAGAGATGGCGGGGCCCTGTTCTTAGCAGATGTCGTGGCCGATCCCGTTCCCTCACTCTGATTTTGTTAATAAGAATTAATGAAGGGTGGCTGTTTGCTGTTGCGTAGGTGGACTGTGGTGTGTGTGTGTGTGTGTGGGGGGCTGTCCATCTAATACGGTTCGTAAAGTTGAGCTGACAAAGGTGTTGGGGAGATGAGGCAGGAGGTGATACAGGTAAAACCTAAATGCTTGACTCTCTCCCCGCATCACAAAGTCAATACAGTGAATGATGTAATTCTGCAGCTTCTGGAGGCTGGAGAGGATGGACGGTCATCAGCTTGGTAACTCAAATGCAATCAAGCTTATTTCAAAGTTTTCAATAGAAGAATATTGAAAATATTGGGGGGCAACAGATGTTGATGTCAAACAGTGGAGAGTCTTAGACCTTCTGAGATACCTGCACAAAACCATCTTGCAAGCTTTTAGTGAAATGTTAGTTGCATCCATGCCATGAGCTTATGATGTCAGATGCAGGGAACACAACAGAGCCACAGCAAGGCCAAAAAGAGTTTGTGTTTCATTTCCTTGCACACTGTGACTTTTGTGGAGTCAGGACCACTGCAGAAATAATGATCTTAGATAAAAACAAACAAACTAATTGTGTTTCCTAGCAACCCAATCAAAATATTGTATTTTTTAAGTTTTTCTTTTTACTTTTTTAAAGCTCTTTTTATGCTTGACTTTAGAAAGAAAGAAGGTGGTAACAGGGCCATTCCCTATCACAGCTCATAAATCATCTCTATATTCTGATGAGGACCTTACATTATTGACCTTTGACTGGTCCCTCACAAGGAAGCAAATTGTATTTCACTATTATTAAGCTGCAGGAGAGGCGGGGGACAGTTGGTATAGTAGAAAGCTGTTGAGCTTGTCAATCTGGGGCCACAGTGGAGGGTCACCCCTGCAGAGAGTTGCTTCCCTCGCATTCAGAAGTCATCATGAAGGTCGTCCCTAATTGGTGCCTCTGTCCTGTGTACCTGCTGTGGCCCCTTCACTCTGCCTGCACTCAGGTTTGATCATCGAGGAGCCTAACTGTGAGGCCTTACCACAACGGCGTTTTGAGATTCGGCTGACCGCTTGAGCAAAGAGCGAGGACGAGAGAGACAGTTTAAAAATGACTGACTCGTCAGCATCGTGCTTCAAAAAATATCTTGGGATAGATTAAGAAACCCCCCCCCAGGAAACTAAAAACCATCCCATGCCGATTTTAAACGATAGATAGCCACCTTATTGTCACAGATCTCAGGGGTGTCAAACATAAGGCCAGGGGGCCAGAATTGGCACTGCCAGATTTCAATCTGGCCAACTGGACATTTTTGGAAAATATGGAGGACATAAATTTGGGAATTTTAACTGTAACTTTATAAAATTTTAAAACTTGTGCTGCTGATAACGACTTCCCCCCATGGCCATTCATACTAAACCAAAGTAGGAGATAAACAGATTAATGACATAAATGTTTCATGTTTTTCACAATCTAAAAGAGAAATTGTTATTTTTTATACTCTGTCCACAGTAACATAAATAACTAAAATAAGATGAATTATACATTGTTTGTGAATTATAAAAAACTTTTGGCTCTATAATTACAGGACAGTCTTGACAATAGGACAGACTTTTTTCTGTAAATTTAGTTTTGTTTTTTTTTTGACAATGCTCTGTATCATGTAGAAAAACTGAGACGTACTATTGTTGGTGTCGAGAAATCTCAGGGATTAAACGTACAGTTCAACTACTTGAGAACGATAGGTAGGAAAGGCTCACTGCTCTGACCCACTTAAGATCAAACTGGGTTGTATGTGAATCACCTGGATATCAACCTCACAGCATTAACACACAAGATGAAAACACTTTTTATTTCATTACGCTATTTTAATTTTCAGCTGTGATGTTTGATCATCTCTTTCGTGTGCAGAAACATTTGCTTGTCACTTTTATTGGTTTATTTTCTGCCTTTTTTTTGGGTCAATTTGATTCATATATTACTATGTAAACAAAGCTGTTTATGCACCTTATTAACTGCAGTGGGTTGTTTGCCAGCTGTCGGTTTCTGTTTCAAACTAACCTGCTTCTTGCACCTGTAAGCTCCACAGGAGCGTTCACTCATCACTCCCTGAATTCTGCATTTAAATAAACAACAATTTCAAATGCGAACTCTGTGACTGAAAGGTTTTTATTTTTATAATAAAAGTATTTTACTGTTGCCACGTTTGTAACTATGGAAACATCACACACATAATTTTAGATTTGCCCAGCTGCAAGTTAAGAGGGCATAGCTTTTTTTTTAACACCTCAGAAGTTAGCAGGCCTGTCAGATGCTACGCGTTCAAAACTGCATTCCGATCTAATGTTAACATAACCGGGAGGACAAGGCCTTCTTTAATGGTAGAGAACACCATAAAAATGCTCCAGCTAGTCACAAGGCTCACTCAGATGACTGCAAGCTGTTTATATCCTTCACATCTACTTTTATAACACTTGCCACAAACACACAGCGTGCAGTCTTACAGAACCCTGCTGAACAATAGCTCTGTATTCTGGCTGTGCAAAACAAATTCATGAAGAATATGCACACTCTGTAAGAAATCAGGGGTCATGAGCTGCGGATCCCTTTGATTTATTGGCACAGGATGAGCGTCATGATTACACCGGATAACAAACCGCTGAGGTTTAAGCAATGAACAATATGCAAGACATGCTGGCGGGAAGGGGATTTAAAACAACAAAAAAACATGGCTGAAATGTCAACATCTAAAAACAGAACGATAAAGCTATGAAGAGTATTACATAAAGTTGTCAGTCCCACCATGTAAGAGCTGTAAGGTTTAAGTAAAGGATGATTTTATGGCGTTACTCCTCTAACCCTACCTCATTCTGCTTTTATCGCAGCTTCATGATGCTAAAACACAGGTTAGACCAACACTGCCATGATTTGGCCTGTTAATGGTGCTAATAGCAAACAGCCAGTCAGCAGCAGTGAGGCTTTCGGAGGCACTGATTATTGTTCACATGTCACAAAAAGATCCCTCTGCCTCTGGGTGCTCTTCTTCTCTGCGTGGCCCTCTCTCCTTTCCTCCCTCGCTCACTCTCTGCCTCCCTTCGTCCTTCTCTCTTCAGTAGCCCCATGGGAGCGTGAGGGTTGAAATGACACACAGTGGCTGACTGTCGCCCAGGGGCCTGGGTTCTGGCCTTGGCTGGCTGGATCTGTGTGGCAGCTGGTGAGCCCGCTGCCCTCTCTCTGGCCTGCAGCATCAACAGTGGTGGTAGTGGGACTGATTGGAGCCTCACTCTGATCTCTGACTCTGGGGCTGACGCTCAACTGCTCACTGCTGCCCACACAGCTGGTGGTGAGGAAGTGGAACACGGAGCGGGGATGTAATCAGGAAAAGAACAAAAAAACGCACACAAGCACACACACAGAAACTAAACCGTCCACTAAATGCACACGGAAAAATGAAATCCTAACAAAATAGCATCAGATACAAGGAGACGATGGCAATACCCACAAGTCTGTGGGGTCACGATATGGAACCTGGAACATCCTAGAAATGGGACCGACTGTGAGGCTGCACGGAGGAAGCAGCGTTTCCCCAAGGACATAACGTGCTTCCAGTTAAGTAACATCTTAAACCTTCTTTGAAACTGTAATACTTATCACATGTTTGAGTTCAAGGCTCAGATTAAACAAATAATCATTCATAAATAGAAACACCTTTCAGCCAAGCTAGCAGCATTTTACTGCAACCCACAAAGCCACACAAGACTTTCCAAAGTCAAAAACAAAACAAACGGCCTCAAATCGTCGCTCCCATCATCACTGAGTAAGCATTAAGGTGCCAGACTTCTCATAGTGTTAGCATTACTGAGTCACCAAAGGGTTACAGTGACAGACACCCTTCTTTCCTTCACTTCCTTCCTTCCTAACGCTTCATTAAAACAAAAAGGCTACTCTATCAGGCAATATATTTATTAAAGGAGTGACCTTGTGTGAAAGAATGATTGAACTGAATTACATTTGTAGTAGCAGTTATTCCCTTTATAGTACCTAACATAGAAAAACTGTGTTCTTTGCCTATCCTACATAACCAAAGATAAGAGTACAGGTTTGCGACTAAAACAAAAACATCTAGGCGAGAATAAGAATCTAAAACGCAGAATATCAGTGTTACAGTATGGAAGTTATGATTGTGATGTGACGCAGTCTTGGTAAGCACACGAGTTGTCCAGATCTGCGGCAGGATAGTGATGAGTGAGACTGGATAGGCGGAGGGTGGTGGTCAGGTCTCAGTGGTGTCTGCTGGTGTAAATTCTGTTCCTGAGCACAGCTACTGGAGGGAGGTGGTGCCGGACACCAGGGTAGCGCTGGATGTGGTCGAACCAGCGGGTAACATTCACATACTGCTCCCTGTCCTGGATGGCCAAGTCAACCTGGTAAAGAGAAGATCATTGGAGGTGACGCGTTTAACCGCATCGTGAAGGCGAGTTAAACTGACAGAAAATCTATTTAACACAGTCAAAGATGGTTTAACATTCAAATATGAACCATTACAAGTATAAAGCAGTGCGTTTCCCTCTTCCCTCAGTTTTATCCTGTTATCAAAAACATGTTAATGCTGCCTATCTGGGTCTCAAATACACTCGCAAAATAGATTCTTAAACACGAGTTTGACTTCCTGGTTAAATAAGGATGAATACAATCAGTAGAATTTACTCTCATTTTGGTGAAAACCTGGATACTTTCTTCTACACTATTTAGAAATCCCATTAAATGAAGAAGGAAAAAAGGAATCCAGTTTTAGTGAAACTCTTATGAGGAAAACAAAACGCTAAAGAGAGGCTACATGTAAGCAATGCTTACATTCATGAGATCACATGCGAGAAGTGTTGATGCACTGGTTTAGGTTGGTTTGAATGTTCTTATCTAAAAATAATTACACTTAAAGAACAGCTTCGTGACGGCTGCCTTTTTTATGCACTTTTGATGATGCGCTCTGATTAATATGGCACTCATATGTGATATAAAACATGTATTTGTCTCTGCTGTCACAACTGAGCAGATATCAAAGCCTGAAACAAACCAGTTACAAAGTTCAGCAGATTTCACATGATGATAATCACATGGTAACCAATTTTACACTGGTTTTCTTTTAGTTGCAGCATAATGCAGGTGGACAACTGGGAATATTTGAAGCACTAAAATGGCCTTGGAAAACATTATTAAGCGTGTTGTTTTTTTTAATCACATAATTAAGCGGAATATGGAAATTCCTCAAAACGGACAACGATCCGGCCTACAACCATTCCAGCATCAGTCAGGTTTAATGTTTGTGTAAAGTAATTTCCCATGAATTGAACATCAGCGCAGGCTGTGGTTAAGGGTCGCACTAGCTGACCTTCTGTCCCCGAGGTTAAAAACCACACTGACTGCAAACCAAAGTGACGCCCCTCTGCCTGGTGGCGTGGAGTGGGAGGAGGTGGGGGCCTTCCATCTTTGCCACAAAAACTGACATCTCTGAACATGTGATCCCCCCCCGCCTCCGTCTCATTCTGCCTTTCCCATTTCTGAACTCGCTTGTTTTTTTTATCCTGTAAGGCGTAGCAAACTTACTTGTCCCTGGTCTGAGGGTAAAGACATCACTTTATGCCACATCGCTTTATCTGACTGAGGAGAAGTGAGAATCTGTTTATAATCCGTGTGTTTATTGCCAGCTTGTCCTCGGTGCCCTGTGGCCATGTGACTGGTCTAATTGTACGTTATGCAAGATGACAAATTGCTTATTAAAGTTGAGGTTTGACCGAAGTGATTGTTGATAAGGAGAGAAAAGCGTGAAAGATGGGGTGGATAGATGAATCCTTGGTAAATGATTGTAAGAATGTAATTAGACAAATAACTTTGAAAAACCTAAAGACAAGTTTCTAAAATGTTTGGTTGTTACAAAGTGTTTCCTAGAAGCACATTTTAAAGATTCAAAGTTAATGTGAACACCCCAGAATACATTAAGTTGATAAATGTGTAGAAACATTGAGGCTTACGAGTGAAGTCGGCACATAAGGAAGCTTCAAACAGGTAACTTACTATGACTGGATGGATTCCATAGTACATAAAAACATCAGCTAAGGTGAACTGGTTTCCGGCCAGATAGACCTTGTCTTGCAGGTAGAGATTGAGGTCCTGAAAGAGGAAATTTCAAAAGCATAAAACACGCTATGCAAATCAGGTCATTTCTTATGATAATTTATGCATTATGGTAAGTATTTCAATGCAAACACAAATGTCTTAATGTGACAGATGGACACATTATATGAATCACTAATGAAGCATCCCTAAAAAAAAAGATGCTGGGACTACAAAATGTTACTGTCTTGATGGACGTTATAGACTTAAAGGGGGCACATCAGCAGGTTCATTAACCTATATATCTGTGGGTGCGTGAGGTACACGAGTCTGGTTCATGGCTTGCGTGCGTGTCTGTGTGCTGCTATGTGGATAGGAATAATATGTAACCTGAGGGGGAATGTCATCTCTCCCCATGACTGGCGACTTAGCACAGATGCTGTACAAAACGGGCTATTTGTTTACTTCTCAACCAAATGACTACAGCTCTCGCTTGCAAATCTAATGAAGCCGTCTTAAACTTGGGCGGCACGTCGTGCACTCCTCAGTCTGTGTCTGTGCAAGCAAAGTCGTGCATGGAAGTGCTGGTCCCTGGGGAAGGGACCATCTTTAGCACTTGTACATTGTGCGAAGGCGAGGGAAAACTCCAAACACACACAGAGCATCTTGGGGGCAAATGGAGTTATTGTGCGGGAAGTGTGGGTGATGCCAAACAAGGCATGAAGACTGCAGACTTCCTCCCCTTCCACAGTCAGATCCTTGCTTTTCTGTAGCCTACAGCCATCAGGCTGAAGCCTAGTCGAGCATCAGAGGAGAGGCAGCTCTCCTGCTGCCCTGCACCCAGCACATGGAGCTCAAACCTGGGTTCTTTGCTACCTGCTAACTGTGCATCAGTGCTGTTGTTGCATTCAGATAAAAATCCTACAGAACAGTCAACTCGAGCTGATGAATAACTAAGAAAAGGAGATACAGGTGCACTAATGAATCACACCTTTTCTTTATTATTTCTGTACAAACTTGATGCTCCAGATGCTATTTTTTATTGTTGCTGCCATTCTTGGACTCAGACACAGTGATCTCTCGAGTTTATACCACTTTCATTTGGCCTTCAGGCAACCATAGCCGTCAGTACTCTGCTCAGTACTCCATCCATCCATTTTCTTATCTGCCTATTCAGCCTTGGATATAGAGGGAGGTTGAAGCCTGTCCTGGCTGACACTGTGTGAGAGGCTTTTTACTTTCAATCGTAACACCTGAAAACATTAAACAGGAGTCAAATAAACAGAATAAGTGAAAATTATTTCTGTTTACGCAGAGTTTACAGTTTTGTCAAAAACTGAATGATCGTGCTCTCCACTCACTGAAGACAAAGTACTTAGCAGATGCAATCATTTGTATACTACAGCATTTGCATGCTGAAACAAAAGATAATAGTCAAATTGAGTGGCAGCAGGAAGTCTTCAATACTGGCCTGATTTGTTTAAAGTGGAGTGACAGACTTTCACCAACACTCAGCTTGTCTCTGGGTTCAGGGCCAACCCAAACTGGCTTGTTTATCAACATATTACATGAGTGACAAGATGTTTACTTCGGAAACAAGTCTCAGCTTGCGAAGCAAAAATGTCTTATTTGCATCCTGGGGTGAGAAAGTTTAAAAACTCCTCCAGATGACACTTTTATCTGAGCATAATTTAATGGGAGATGACTGGTGTGCTTAAAAGGAGAGCGTTAAGGACGCGGCTCAAGCAGCAGGACAGGACAGGGGGCCACCGGGCACCAGTGCTGAGCTGCTCAGGGCGACTTCCGTCTGTAAGTGGCACCATTAAAATATTTAAGAGGCCTGTCCAGATAACATGCTGCCGCACAGCATGACTTCTCAGCCATGCCACAACAGCGTGTCACGCTGAGAAGTGCGCACATACACACACACACAAATGCACAGACACTTCACGCTGACAGGACGGTGCCAAGAGGCGCGCGGCATCCAGCTGACCAGCGGCTGACGATCCGTTTCACGCTGACTGGCGTCAGGCACATTAGAGTATTTTGCTCTGTCGCGTGGGGCCATGTCACTGAAGGGCCATACATCAGCCCGTATTCCTGTCGCTCGCGCCTTAATAAGGCAAAGAGACACACACATTGACCCAACTGGTGGTCACAGGAGGTCAATGTGGAAGAAACTGTCAAAGAAACTCTCAAAGAAAGAGAACAATTTTAACACTGATTTTAGCACAAAGAAAAAAATAAGACTTCTAAGCATGCTTGGAAACATCAGGATTAAAATCTGGGATCATTTTAAGTACGTATGCATTTAACTCTAGAAATGCTGTTTCAATGAAAAGGAAAGGATTTCCTTGAAAATCAGCTCTTTTACCTTTAGGACGGTCTTGATGTCTTCCTTTGTGCAACTGTCGAGTTTGGTCACTCTGTACTCGAGCCACTGCTGCACCACCGCTCTGCTCTCTGCGGTGTCACCCAGCAGCTCTGGGCGCTTGGCCTCTTTCGCCAGGTGACAGGCGATGGTCACCAACCCCACCAGCGGAGGACCATTATTATTCTGTAGCACAGGTACCTGGAGGGTGAGGAGTGACAGTGAGGGGTAGTTACAAACAATCATTTCAATGCATCAGAAGCCAGCACTGTCTTTCTAAATAACACGCTTCATTTCCAGTGATGGCAAAACGTCCCTAATAAATGCATTTATTTTATTAGACTGTCTGGATCTCATATGCACGCCGATTATCAATGTGTAATTTGGAAAATACTGATTAGTGAAATTACGATGGACGGTTAGGTTGATATCCAGAAGAAAGAATTTAATATGGGTGGGAAAAAATACTTTCACAACTTTTCCTTATTAACCTTTCACTACAGCATCCTTTAAAAAAATCTGAAGCAGATTGCTACCCCCACTTCTACAAAAACATTATTTACTGTTGTTTTATTTACTGACATATAGATAGATAAATTCAAATATCCAGTAGCTGCATTTAAAAACAAAAATACGTCCGGTCATAAATATGAATAAAAAGATAAAGTAATTAATGTTGAAAAAAAAAGACTTTAAAAATACAACAAAAACGGTTTAAGGTTTTTAGGAGGACGCAAAATGTGTATGAATGAGTGATGATGATTCGATGATAACTCCAATAATACAAAATGACACTTTTAAGGGCTTCATTTTGGAAACTCTAATTTGTTCATACTTTATAAGACGTTATTATCAATAGCTATAATTTTTCGCAATTTTCCGTTTCGCAAATATGTTTATTTTCCCCTGAATGAAAATAAATTGCATAAAATAAATAACAAGAATTTACTATTATTAGTACTACAAATTAAATTTATATTATTTTAAATATAGTTCTATATGCACTACTAGAGTTCACTTGCTCTGTCCATCCCATGGTACTGACAGCTAACTCCTCCCCTCGCTTAGTTTCAATGGACGGCTATAGACAAAGCATGGGGCTACGTCTATTATAGCTTTATGCTATCCACTATGCTGACTTTTCCCAACAAGACCGCTGGCAAACACATCTCTCTGCGTGGAAATGCTGGGGTAATGGAGAAACTTAGCTGACAACAGACGAACAGCCCGATATAGACACACTATAAGCACAGCTTTATTTCCAACACACATGCATGGCGTGTTAGCACTCCCCTGCTATAGCTAGGTGTCCCGGTTACAACAGCTCGGAGGGCGCCTTTCAATTAAAATGGCAATTGTATCACCTACAGTAAATGACACAGTAATGAACCGTTATATCACCTTTTTATCCCCCTGCGTACTGTACTTATTCGCCTTTTTTTGTCCAAGGTATTTCTCCAGCGAAGATAGCTCCCGCAACGCCATGTTTGTGACTGTCGGACGGGCAGGGTAGTGTGCGAATGATGTGATTGGCTTAAAGTCGCAATTCCCGCCCACTCACGCTTGACTGACTGAAGATTTAACCAAAGAAAACTTGGCATACGAATCCTTTCATTGTATTGCATCAGAGCTTCGCCCAACTTAACCGATGAATCCAGTCTGTGAAAAAATAAAATAAATTAAAATACAGATACCTTTATGTTTTATTTAGTAAGGGCTATTATATAAAATTGCTATAAAATTACTTTGTAAGGAACTATGATGATAACAACAACAACAACAACAACAACAATAATAATAATAATAATAATAATAATAATAATAATAATCTCCAAATAGATTACATAATTTTTTATTTCAGGAAACAATGAAACTCATTCCTGCATATACATTAATTTGATCATAGATTTATTGCAGATGTTTTTTAGATCAACCTGTGGATGCAGGTTACAATGCAAGGTGTCGCATGAAATTCACTGGGTTCAGGTATTTTGTTTTTATGACTTTCACACGTTTACACCCAAATAAATGTTGCTGCCATGGGTGGAGGAGAGTGCATCTACCAGACTGCAAAAATTGCTAAAAATCAGCTCAGTGAACCTGGCACTGGCCTGGCCTGGCCTGGCCTCTGAGCTCCCCAGATTCTAGACCAATCAAGGGTTCATGGGATGGGATGAAACAAGCCTGATTTGTAGAGACCCCACCCTGCAACCCACAGGATCTAAAGGAATGCCAGCGTTTTACTGCCAAGCACAGTAGTACACACCCAGAGGTCTTGTGTCTTAGCCCCAGCAGACCAGAGCTATTATGGCATCACAAGGCAACCCGCAGTATTGTGCAAAATTCTTGAATCATCCTTCATTTTTTTTTAATATATCGATGGGCGCATGTCCAATATTGGGTGTAACATAGTAGTGCACTACTGTAATAACATTACATAGTTCAATAACAAAGTAATGTAACTTGCTACTGTACTAAATTTAGTAATTTGATTACAGTTACAGTTATGCTGTTACTTTCCTTACAAAGGGTTCTTCAGTTATCTCTGTGCAGTGCAGTTAGAAAGAAACATTTTTCTTCCTTTATTTAAGTAACATACTGCATTACTTTTAAGAAAAGTAATGAGTGACGTGTAATACATTACTTACCCCAACATGACACGGCCTCCACCATGTTTTACAGATGGCTGCAGAAACTCACTGCTGTCCCTCTGTCCTGGCCTCCTCCAGGAGGCTGATGAGGTTTCAGTGAACAGTAGACGTATCAGCTCATGGTCCAGATGCTCAGACCCTATGTCTGGATTTTTCCCTGTTTCTTAAGGACATGACTGTCAGATACTGTTTATCTGCTGTAGAGAGTTTTAAGGCCTGACCGTTTTTCTTTTATCCAGTTGCCCCAAACTATTTAAGGACACAGTGCACACCATGCTGAGAAAGACGTTTTCAGCTAACAGCTCTTTCACCTTTTTTTTTATCATCTTATAAGATAAGATAAGATAAAACTTTATTAATCCCTCGGGTGGGTTCCTCTGGGAAATTCGGTTATTGCTGATAAAGTAGTTTTATGTCTGTCAAACTGTGTTATCTTTGGTAGTTTTCATAGATTCAACTAAAGAAACTGAAACAAACAATGTGTTTTTGTGACAGGCTGCTGCCAATGAAGATACAATGTAAAATTGGCTCTTTGATAGGCTGTCTGTTATGTGTAGACACAACACTGGTTCATCTTTAGGGTTAGGTGTGTTTTTTTTATGTTTGAATGACTCATAAGTCTGTGCTAGGTGAAAAATGTTTTGGTGTATCTGAATATTTGGATAACTGATATTGAGTCTAAGACTTATTGCTTTCTGAGCCAGTCTATTGATAATACAGATTAAAAGCAGCTAATCCAAACTATTAGTCTGATGATCAATAACCACTCAGACTACGAACAGAGTACATGCTGAAGCCTGAAAGCTGGTGCCTTACTATTAGATTTTGAATATTTATAAGCGCATTTCTTTGTAAAGAGATGAGTGCGTGGCTGTTCAGTGTAGTTTGAGTTCAATAAAAGCACAGTATTTGTGTATCCCAGCATTCCCCTGGTGTACTCTCCCAGCTCCCATCAATGTAGGTTGGACTAATCAAAAATGATCCTTCTGTCCATTCTTAGTTGCGTGCATCTTATCACTAAAGCTTTTCTTGTGATGCTTTGTGGTCAAATAGAATCAGAATGACAGAGGAAGGTCTGGAGTTCCAGTCTGAAGTCCTGCAGCAAAGTTTTCCTGTCCTGTCCGTCTGCCTCTGCAGTGTGTCCTGGATGTGACATCGTGTGTG